GTTCATCACAGGTTGAGGTCTGCTTGAAACGACACACAGTATTTTTAAACGGTCACCACTTTAATCAAGTGCAGAGAAGAGTTGAGATAGAAACCGTCTGAGAGTATTAACATGGGCCGTTTATGACAGCCATGCAGTTTTAGGAATGCTTATTTTTAATGTTTTTCAATGCTACTTATGATTTTTCAAAAACATATTACTAACTAACTCATGCACCCAAAGTGCCAGGGACAAAACCTTATACTAATGTTAAACTTGCTGGAGTATTAAGAATGTAGGATGTACAATAGTTCAATAAACAAGACTTTATTACAGAATAACATTTTAGACACAATATTGTCAGTCTGCATTTGATGAAAATAGTTCTAATCTACAATAAAACATCTGCAATACACAGTATTTCGGGTTCATTCCCAAATGAATCAGCTTTCTTTAACAAATCAGTTGAATTAATGATTCAGTGACTCACTCATTTCAATAAGTGCTTTTGAACAAATAGGTTGAGTGAATGATTCAATGGCTCAATCATAAAGACAGTCATGTGTACAATTCATAAATGAATATGAGCTTTTGAACGAATGGGTTGAATGAATTACATTTTTCTTTGTAAGGCTGCAACCTGCAATAAAGAAAGAGTCACTATAACCCATAACTAAAGCACGGACTGGCTAACAATGGCCTTAATTAACAAATTTTGTGCGTCAAAAGTGTGTGCCAATTACAGTACATGTTTATGCACTTGTGTAGTTCAGTTTTTGGACAGTCCTATTGGATCATCCCTCTGTTTTGAATTAAGTCTCGTACTCCAAAAGTAATGTTGATGAGAAATTGAGGGACCTGTTTGCTCTGATGACCCTGGATCTGCGCTTGGGTTACATCTGAACTGAAAAAGAGAAGCATGTGTGAGTTTTCATGCAGAGGACACGCTAGAGAGGAGACAGGCATGGCGAAAACACAGCGGAAAATTACAATTGTCAAAGGTACTGTGATTTTAGACAAGACAATGGGAAAGTGGAAATAACTGTAATAGTTTCAGCACTCACATCTGGGCCGTGTTAGATCTTCAAGGCCAGAGCTATGGATTCAAAAACATTAAAAGTTCAAATAAACAGTCACATCCAGTATTTTAAGTGCTGTTATAGCATTTAAGAGAGCGTTGTCTACGTTGTCTTTGTCTAGCACATCTTTTCAAAGGGTGCTGGTTCAGATAATAACTCTGATTGGGGGAAATAATGTTTCCCATGTGGCAGCTGCTTTCTGGAGCAGTTCATGTGTGCTGGAGCTCATTTCTGAGAAAGACCCGGATGTGTGCGAGAAGTCAGTCATCACGTTCTGCTCTGGGATCGCTCTTCTCTTCATTGCCGTTGTGTTCTCTCTCTTCATGGTTTTAACAGATTTGTCTCGTCCCCTGTGGAGGGAGTTTATCGAGTCTCTGTTGACTTGTGTGGAGAAGCGGCCGTGTTATAAACTACAGGACCACAATGGTTTCAGGAAACTACTTGTAAACTGTAGTTTAACAAGATACAAGCTACTGTTATGGAGTTGCATTTTAAGATGTTAAACTACAGTTGCACTAATTGTATATCAGAGAGCAGACGTCCTAATTACAGCATCCCACTTCACTTAGAGGCCTTGGAATGGATGGAGTTTTCTCATCCAGTGGCTGGATAAAATGAGTATTACGCTAACACAAACACAAGATCACCGCAGGAAAGCAATGCCGGTTATTTCTGGATGGTATGCGGTCAAGGCTGATTTTAAACGTAAACATTACATAACACTGATTCGTAACATTTAAGGGGTTGATTCACCTGAACCTGTCATCATTTACTAACTGGGATTTATAAAGGCAAAAACTGACCTGGAAATGTTCTTGTGCATATGCCAGCTGAAGAGCATGCGTACACAATCACAATATGCTTTGCAACTACTATGCGATAATTACTGTATGTCACTGAAATGTATTAATTATATAAGATTTCCTGAAAAAAAAAAAAATGTTGATGCACTTGTTCACATTGCACTTTTAAGATGAACTGCAATTTAGGAATTTAGGATCATCATCATTTAGGATAATTCTGCGCACATCTTTAAGCCACAACAGACCTAATTGCAGCTGTTGTTCATTGATAATCTTCCTAGCAGCCTTCAAAAGTCAGACAATGCAAATAGACCACATCCCGTTTGGCTGAAACTTCACAACGTCAGTGTGATTCAAGCACAACCAAAGACATCACATCAGGAGACATCTAGAGAATAGCATCAAGTCCTTATAGAAGAACCTCATCATGCACCATTGCATTAAATGCATTTTCACATATATTGATGAGACAGATGGAGTACATACATAAAATTGATACAGTATTTACCCAGAATTTAAAATTCTGTCATAATTTCTTCCCTCTTTCTGCACAGCGCAAAATGATAAATATATGTTGTAAACCAGTGACGCTCAATTAAATCTTTTTTTAAACATTTTTTTTTATATATGTTAGTTTCAACCTTCAGATAACAAAAATTCAGGGGCAAGAAACATTCTACGTTTTATTCTACTTTTAGGCTAAATGCAAATGTAGATGAAATCTCCTACTGGGCATCAAAACTAGATTTATAATGTTTTAATATGTTTAATTCTTTCTATATATTGTAATATTGTAATAACATTGTAAAGTTCCTTGCTGATTTTTATTTAAATGTGACAGACATATATGGAGGGGAAAATATATTTTTTAATGAATTTATTTCTAGATTAATACCTATATTTTGATATATGTTTTAATGCATTAATGTGTTTTCAAAAATATACAAAAATGGCCAAAAATATATTGGTAGAAAATACACTCTTAAAAATAAAGGTTCTTTCCTGGCATTGATGGTTAACATCCATAGAACATTTCCATTAGACAAAAAGGTTATTATAGAGGAAAAGGGTTCTTTAGATTAATAAAATGCTCTTCAAGCTTATAAAATAATGTTTTTTTAGTATAGTTCACTGAGAGATTCTTTGAGGAACCTGAAATGGTTCTTCACTCTTAATAAAGGTTCAAAAAGTGGGATTTTGCAGCAATAAGAACCATTTTTGGTTCCCCAAAGAACCTTTGAGTGAACAGGTCTTTAAAAACATTATATTCTTAGTGTGAAGAACATTTAATTAATCTAAAGAACCCTTTTCCACTAAAGAGCCTTTTGTCCAATGGAAACGTTCTATGGATGATAAAGGGTCTTCATGGAAGCATCGATGCCAATAAAGAACCTTTATTTTAAAATATACAGAAATAGATTTGCTCAAATATTTCCAAATATATTAATGTGGTGTATTTGTAGCAATAGCCAACAATACATTGAGATAGTCACCACTGATAAGCTATTACTAAATATAATGTAGAAACTTCCATTTTCAATTTTCATCGTGAAAAGCGCTATACAAATAAATAGAATTTATTTAAATTGTAAAGGGTCAAAATGATCCATTTCTCTTTTATGCCAACAATCATTAGGATATTAAGTAAAGATCATGTTCCATGAAGTTATTTTGTGAGCTTCCTACCGTAAATATATCAAAACTTAATGTTTGATTAGTAATATGCATTGCTAAGAACTTCATTTGAACAACTTTAAAGATGATTTTCTCAATATTTGGATTTTTTTGCACCCTCAGATTCCAGATTTTCAAATATTGTGCTATCCTAACAAACCATACATCAATGGAAAGCTTATTTATTCAGCTCTCATGGTGTATAATCTCAATTTGATATTTCATACTGAACTGAACTGGAGATGTTGCACTGTAAAGAGATGAGTGTTGAATTTGACAGACAACGAAGACATTTAATTGAATTATGTAACAATTTTAAACATTGCAGATTATTGTTTATTGAGAAACATTTCGACGGGTGAATGTTGTAAAACCTAACAGCTGCTTTTCCAGTAAAGATCCAAAGTTATTTCAGTGCATTGTGAGTATGCAGCGTCCTGCCTAGTGTTTGAGGACACGATCCTGAGAGAAAGCGTGAGAACGCGGCCTGCCAAACGCTCCACGAGGAGCTGTAAAGCAGAGGATGTACAGCATCTGAACAGACAGATCTGCTGCGTGTCTGCGGCCGCGTGAAGAATTATGAGCTGAACTGATTCCTTCTGAACGTCACAATCTGGATTTTGTGGTACTTTTGAGGCTGGGCAGACATCTGCCTTTAGTGCGGCTACAAATGCGCTCTCATTGCAGAGGAAATAGTTGTCAGATGATGTAAATAGAGTCGCAGTTATGACTCAATCATACTGTAACTGCAGGGAGCTGAAGTTATTCCTGGGAGAGTTCAGTCCGTCCAGGAGCTTCAGGACGCTGTGCTTTTCCTCACAGAAGGCCGTAATTCACAGCAGGCGCGCTTTAGGACATCTGTCACAAGATGCAAAGAAGTGAAATGAAAAAGGCAAATACTAATTTTGTCAGGTCAGCGTGTGTGATGGTGAAAATATTTCTATAAAACTGCGAAATTGCTCAAAGTGTAATTTAAGGAGCAAACAGTATTACAGTATTGGGTACAGTAATTTGTTTGTATTACTATAGTTGTTATGTTACCACAGCAACAAACTAATTCAGTACTTTACTATAGTATGGTCCAAAAACACTATAGCTTACTATAGTATTGTTTTCATCGTTAATCTGATTATTAGCCTACATCCCGAACTGATCAATCAATCAATCAAGCTTTTATCATGCACACATGAAACACTACACATGCAACTGATTTTCCTTTAATATCTTATACACCACTTATTTTTATTGATAACTCTGATATTGATTTTTGAATTGATAAGTTCTTCCTTCAGTATGCAGCAGTCTGCTTGACTTTAGTTGACTGCATTCATATAACTAACAGCATGTGCTGCACTATAACAGATATTTCAGAAGAGTAACCCGCGTGTGATGTTTAACAGGAGGGTTTAGTTTAGCATTTCGCGCAGGCGGATCATCAGGCAGCCTCCTGTAGGGGTCCTTCAGAACCCGGAAGCGCGCCAGTGTTTACAGCCGAGTGGAAGAACACGTGTGCGACTGCAGAGTCTTGAGTGTGAGTGTGAGTGTGTGTGTGTGAAATAAACATCATGAGAGTTGCTGCGCTGATCAGGTAACGTGACGCGACTGTGTCTTGAATACGACAGTTGTGCAGATATTGGAGCTGGTCAGTGATTGTGTGTGTGTGTGTTTCAGCGGCGGTAAGGACAGCTGTTATAACATGCTGCAGTGTGTGTCTGCTGGTCACTCTATCGTGGCTCTCGCGAACCTCATGCCTCACACACATGGTGAGATCATCTAACACACGAGCTGTTATTTCTGTTATGTGTCCTGCAGTATGACACTTCATCAAAGCTAGCTAAACTCTCGCGTCGCATGCGTGGTGTGTCAGTTCCAGATGAGCTGGACAGTTACATGTATCAGACGGTGGGTCACCGGGCCGTGGGTCTGTACGCGGAGGCCATGGGTGTTCCCCTGTACAGGCGCACTATTGAGGGCTCCAGTCTGCACACGGCCAGAGAATACAGCCAGACCGAAGGAGATGAGGTGGAGGATCTGTACCAGCTGCTCAAGCTTGTGAAGGTAGGCCAGTGTCTCGCTCTGTGACTGCTGGAGGCTCTGCTAGAGCTAGCTCTCAGCCTGATCTCACCTCTAGTGTCCAGCACTGCTGCAGTGTCCAGCACTGACCATAACACTGGCAGGGGCTGCTAGAGCTAGCTCTCGGCCTGATCTCACCTCTAGTGTCCAGCACTGCTGCAGTGTCCAGCACTGACCATAACCCTGGCAGGCTCTGCTAGAGCTAGCTCTCAGCCTGATCTCGCCTCTAGTGTCCAGCACTGCTGCAGTGTCCAGCACTGACCATAACCCTGGCAGGCTCTGCTAGAGCTAGCTCTCAGCCTGATCTCGCCTCTAGTGTCCAGCACTGCTGCAGTGTCCAGCACTGACCATAACCCTGGCAGGCTCTGCTAGAGCTAGCTCTCAGCCTGATCTCGCCTCTAGTGTCCAGCACTGCTGCAGTGTCCAGCACTGACCATAACCCTGGCAGGCTCTGCTAGAGCTAGCTCTCAGCCTGATCTCGCCTCTAGTGTCCAGCACTGCTGCAGTGTCCAGCACTGACCATAACCCTGGCAGGCTCTGCTAGAGCTAGCTCTCAGCCTGATCTCGCCTCTAGTGTCCAGCACTGCTGCAGTGTCCAGCACTGACCATAACCCTGGCAGCGGCTGCAGGGCTGTATGTGACCGTCCTGTTGAAGGATGCTTTGAAGCACATGTGGCTGGAAAATTTCCATTTGTCCGAATAATCGGATTGTGTTATGCTTAACTAAAGGAATAGTTCACCCAAAAATGAACATTTAGGTTTACATTGCATTTGAAAGATGTGGATGAGTTTTCCTCTTCGCAGTAAAAAGGTTTTTAGCTGACGCTGCTTGGCGATTCGTAAGATGTGGCGACGGTCACTTTGAGAGTCAAAGGCTCCTGACGATATATTGAGGCTTTATGAAGCGAAACGATCAGTCTGTGCATTATGTACAGCATTATTACTGTAATCCAGAGCCTCAGACAAACGTTAAAAGCTGATTATTTTCCACAAACAGGTTCTTTTGGGCTGGTTCGGTTCAACTTGTTCGTTTACGTAAACTAGGGCTGGGCGATAATGCAGAAACATTACAATCTCGGGGGGGTTTTTTCAGAACGGGTTGACCGATCCTCGAATTTTTCAAACTAGTCGACTTGAAAATGTAACTACAATTAGGGCTGGGTATCGTTCAGAAATGTTCGATATCGATACCGATACCTTGACTTCGATACCGGTTCCTGAACGATACTTTTTTTCGATACCAATTTTATTAAATAAATTTTAACAAGATTATATTACCTTAAAAAAAAACGTTGGTTTTATTTTTCAGATTGTTGATGTTTATACAAACTCAAGACTCCTCTCCTGAGCCACTGCACAAAGGAACACAATGTAACCAACACAATAAATCAGTGCAAAATAGTTTTAATAAAGCTCAAATAGTCTTCAGTTTACACATCTGTTAGCTACATTTACACTATTGTGTGTTCGTGTTAAAACGCATAGCTCAGACAGAATCATGATTTCTCTGTATTTTCCACTGATTAACTGATGAGCATTAGCAGCTTCCAGCGCTGTCTGCTTGTGCTCTCTCTTCCATGATCGCTGCTCGGACTCAGAGGTAATAACAGATTTAATTTCAGCTACATTGCATGGCCAAAACACACATTAGACGGCAATCGGAAGTTATTACAAACACTCGATGGTGGTTTAAAGTGAGTTTTAAAAAAAATCTTATGTAGCATGATGCTACAGTGTGCATGAATGGCCACGTAACACGTGCTTTCGGTCGTGTAACGTTAGTATGAACGGACATCTGCATATGATCGGCGCTCCACGCAGCTCCCGCGCTACTCTTCCGTTGGAAATGAATGACGGAATGACCGGTCTGTTGCTTGTCGGTGGAAACGGCAGTATGACGAGGATCGTTTTCATTTTAAAACATAAACGCACCAGTGTAAATGTAGCCTTACATCTAAGCGGGCTGGGACGCATTCACACTACAGCCTCACGCGTGCGCCTCATCTCTGAGTGTAACCGGTGTGAACTAGCAGCTGTGTTCGACTGTGCAGACCGATCGGTGTATTACAGCACCGCGAGAGCTGAAGAGAGCAGACTGCTCCGTGCGCTTTCAAATCGCTCTCGGGGATGATCGATCTGCGCCGCGCCTCTAGTCGAACACACCGGCTAGTAGGGCTGAACGATTAATTGCATTTGCGATAATATCGCGATATGAAAAATTTCGATTTTTCAATCGCAGAGGCTGCGATTACACGGTCACGTGAGTAAAGAGGTGTGTTCGACTTGAAGATCGATCGGTGTATGACATCAAAGTACGGCGAGAGAAAGCATAAGGAGACGTCCGCTCTCTTATAGCTCTCGCAGTACTCTGATGACACACACCCATCGGTCTGAGCAGCGCTGCTTCAAGTCGAGCGCGGGCCATCAGCAGAAAAAGAAAATAAATAAAATGGTAAACAGCCAAAGGATGTAACTTAGAATGGGAGATGGATCGGTTTGTGAAAGCGAAGAGAAAAGTCATAGATGAAGTCGCACAGACGCAGGCAGCTGCTGGTCATTCACAAGCTAAATGCAGAAGCTATGACGAGGCATATCTCGCTCTCGGCTTCGCTCACCGTGTCTATACCGGACGCCGTGCTGCAACAGCTCTACACTGGACGCGACAAAGCTACCGTTGCAAATCATTTTAACTTTGTGTCAGTACGTCATAAATAGAACAAGGCATCAGATTAATGTCGCGCCGCATCCAGTGTACACAGCGTCACTGATTATAATGGGTTCTACTGTATGTTGCCGCTCGCGTCCGGTGTAGACACGTGTTTAATGTCGTTGGTTAGGAAAGCCTGTGTGTCCTACGCCTTAGCGGACAGCAAGAAACACACAAAAAATAAATAAATAACAGAGAGATAATAAGTTATTCTCTCTATGCTATTTTTCAATGTTTCAAGGGATGCAGGTGTTTTTTTCCCTGTAGGTTTTTTAAATTAAAAAAACATTAATTTTTCATAATGTTTAGTGAAATTATTTGGTAGTCTGAGGGGGGCGCAACCAAAAAAGTTTGAGAAGCG